AGTATCAAAGTGTGGTTTCTTTTCTCTCCAGTAATTCTTCTCAAGTCTCCACAGTGTACATATTTTGTACAAAATAGGAGTTTAATAAATGTATTTTGTTGGAAATGTCACTCTTGGGATGGTTTTTCATACCCCTGAGTTATACCAACAAATCAGCTTAGTTAACATAACAATCGTCTCTTCACATGTGTAGAAGTGCTAAATTCAGAATGAAAACCTTTTGGTTATGGGCCATCCAAATTTCTTTAACTTATGTAAAGCTATTTAGTTTGCTGGGTTTATGAGCACTGCCATTAATATTATTATACTAATAGCTCAATAAATATTTGTTGAGCAAATGTCAAACAAACATATTGGCACAGAGGTTCATTTTGTTTTTGTTTTTGAAAGTGAAGAATTAGATTACCTTAGAGAGAATTTAAAGGAAACTTTTCAACCCAAGTTCTAGAGGAGGCTGTTTTCCTTTCACACCTGCCTGATAAAGTGCTCCAGGGCTAGTTTCCAAGAACTGCTTTCCTTATCCCACAAGGCAGCTGCTCTCCAGAGAATGGCTTCATATTCTCACAGCTGTCGTCCTTCAACCTTATTTTAAAAAGTCAGTTTTATGGGGAAAAAAAACACCTGCTTTTCCTGCAGGTGCATAGTGACAGCCTTTAGTAGGAGCTAGCAGGAGTGGCTTCCCTAACATGATCATTTCACATAGATCAGCCAAGACTGCAGATTGGTGCCTTTACCATTCAGGTGCACTTAATCGAGTGTGAAATTCATAGCCACTGCAGTGTAACAAACACTGCTTGTGACATCTCATATCAACCTAATTATCAGGTTGGAAATGCACCGTATTTTGAGATTCTGGTTAAGTCCAAGTCGTTTTTCTTTTAGCCATGTACTGTTTGACAGCAAGGATACATTTCATTAGCAATAAGAATGACTTTCACTTTTTCTTTCATTTTCAGCTTTTTGAAGAATTCTTTGAATGGAAATGCTAGCAAAACTTGATTTTCATTTCAACTCATTGTCACTTTGATTTATTTCTCCAAGCAGTCAGTGAATGGGAACACAGAGCAAGCAATAAAAATGGCATCCCATTTTTTATTTTCCTTTTTCTTTTTTAAAGGACACTCTCATTTGCCTCTAAGGAAGCTGCTTCTTCAATAAACCAAAGTATTGATCTACTTGGGCAGATCTGAAATCAACAAAGTCACCAAGGCCAGAGGATATTTAGTACTGAAATTTTCTATTCAGAATGCCTCCCTCTCTATATTTATATACACATATATACATATGTATACACACACTACATATGCCCATACACATATATAGTAAGCTATGTATCCTATACATGTATGTAATGTATGCATATGAGACACTAAACATTTATATGGTCCATATTCTGTACAAATTTTGAATAAACTAAGGCAAAAATAATTTTCAAATACATCTTATTTTTATTTTTTTTTTTTACTTCTTAATTATTTTACTCTGAAGTTGTTTATAAATGATCTTACATCTCTGAATCATATACAGGTTTTTTTTAAGGAGCATAACCTTGAATTTTTTTTCCCTTTCTATGAATATATATGTGTAAATATATATATATTTTTCATATATCTGATTTACAACTCTGTATATGATTTAGAATTATGGGATCATACCTGCTCAGATATATGTCATCACATAGCACCTATCACCAAGGTACATGGTATTATAAGCCAATGTTACCTTAATTTAAAACATTAAAAATGGAAGATAAAAAATAAACAATTTTTCTTTATCAAAAAAGAGTACAAAATTGGGGTCTTAGAACTTAGAAAGATCTGGTAAAAACTCTGGTTATGTACTTCCTAGTTCTTAATCTTGTCCATTTTACTACCTTCTCAGAATCAGGTGCTTAATCTATAATAGTAGGATAAGTTTTCTTACTGTGTGACATTTTTATAAACATCATGTGGTAGCATATGTAAATCATTTAATACTGAATATAGAACACAGAGGCAACTAGAAAATGGTGATTGTGATTAATCAAAGTATTGACATGTGAAATAAAAAATTGAAAAGGTAGCCTGCGTAAGTGGAGGCTCCATTGTAGTCACAACCCACTCTCTCACTGTGTGGGCTCAATTCCTGGGACTGATTAATAACAAAATAGCAGCTCTGCTCTCAACTTTAGGAACTCAAGATTGTAAAACAGCTTAAAGATCACCTTGCCCAAAGAACCAGTTAGGGTACCCTCTTCTACATAAATTCTTCTCAATTAAGAATTGTCATCCAGGGCCTCCCCGATGGCACAGTGAGTTGAGCTCAGCACTGTGAAGCTGTCCGCAGCCTCTGCAGTGGGGGTTCGATTTCCAGCCAGCCAGGGAGATTCCCACATGGCGGGGCAGACATCACCTGTCGCACACACTGCTTCCCTCAGCAGTGTATTTCAGTCATCTGCCTGTTCTGCTCCCTGTTCTGTCTCTGGTGAATCCTCTCACCCTCCCATGCATGTGGCCTGTACCCCAGCTCTTGCATATAAATAAATAGATCTTTAAAAAAAATTGTCATCCAATCAATGTAGTTGGGATTTACTTTGCAAGAGATCATGAATAAACCTATGATTAGTCCTAGTTTCCTATTTTCTAGCATCTCTATTTCCCAGCCAATGATTATTTTATTAGCTATACCTCCAAAATACATCCAAAACCTGCACCTTTCTCATCACTTCTACTGCTACCATTCTTGATAGTTCCACAACCACCTTTCATATAGGTTCCTGCAACATCCCCCTAACTAACAATTTTGCTTCTAATTTTAATTCCCTACAGTCTTTTTATCACATTGCATTCAGAGTGATATTTGTAGAGAACAGTTCAGAACATGGCAGACTCTTAATGGCAAACTCCTAACGATTTCCCCTTCTGCTTATAATAAAGTCCATATCTTGCCCAATGCTTACCAGGTTCCCCTGCCCCCGCCATTCTCACTTGAAAGGTCAAACACCTGTCACCCTCTTTCTCATTTCCATTCATTGCTTCATTCGGTTGATCTAAATACTCACCTCAAACTAACTTAGTTTATTCCTGAATCACCTTCCACATTAATAAAAGGAGAAAAATCATATGATCATATCAAACTATGTTGAGAAAGCATCTGATAAGATTCAACACCCATTTATGATAAAAGTCTTCAAAAAACTGGGGATAAATGGAACTTACCTCAATATAATAATGGTCATATATGACAAGCCATAGACAACACCATACATAATGGTGAAAGAAAAGTGTTACCTTTAAGATCAGGCACATGATAAGGTTGTTCACATTCACCGCTATTAAACATAGTATCAGAAGTCCTAGCTAGACCAATTAATTAAGTACATTACTTTTAATAATACCACCACATTTATAATGAAGAATAAACATTTTAGGGCAAGATTTTTTTTCCTTTTTTGGACCTTCCATATCATAACAGTCTCAAGTGGTTATCTTTCATAATTATATCAACAAACCAAATGATGACAAACACATACTTTGTTAATAGTGTTTATCCTAGATCCCTGCTTCCAGTATCTCTTCTTTCATTAACATCACATTCCACATATAAGACATCTAGAATGAACATATACCTGGAAGTGGATAGGCTATTTTTGCTAAAAAGCCAGGAAAAATAGAAATGAACTTGTTATTTTTATTAGAATGAACAGATATTTGAAGATACCATGCATTCTCACTGTCAGCTGACTTAAGAGGAGTTGGAAATAAATTGTTCATTAGAGGACATGGTATTCTATGGCTCAGAAACTTGCTATAAACATATCATAGCATACAATATTAGATGTTAGGAATAGTCACAGTGGGATATGCAGAATAAACTTGACAAGTGGAGCTTTCATGCAGAAATCAACAAATAAAAACTTCTTAAAAGGACACTGAGTATCTTTGACCTTTCTTTCTCTCAGTTCACTAACCTGATTAGGGGGTTCTGCTGTGTCATGAATTTGAGCTATCTTGGAGTAATCTGCCTGATCTATGTTTACCCACCATTTCTCTGCACTTGGTATACTTCTGGAGATGTTTGGAATGACCTTTACCAGAGACAGATTGAGAGGATGGGGAAATGGGAACACCAAAGCCCTAGTGACTGGGAATAACATTCTGGGAACAGCTTTATTCTTTCAGGCTCTCCTGTGACAATCTACAGGGGACAAGCACATTAACCACAGAATCATGCTGCTGGAGAGTGACTGTTCCTGCGCTTGCTAACTGAAATACTTAAACTCCAAAACTCAAACAGTATTGTCAGTTGACAGTCCAACCAGGTGTCTATAAATCTGAAAACAGATGACTTATGCATGCAGTCATTTATATATTGAAAATGCTCTTCATGACAGTTTATATATTTGATTATGTTTTCCAGACTTTATGGATCTTCTGTGTTCTGGTAAAATTTTGTTGGGTTTTCCACTAACTTACAGAGTAGAAAGTTCTTAAAGAATATTAACATTTTTGGTGCAATTCCATTTTTAATGAGCTTCCATCGTGTTTACTGAATCCTAACTTTGAACTATCTTTCTTGAGAGTAATTTGACTACATATATAAAAACACTTAGGGTTTTTCTTCTATGAATTAGCAATTATATTTTTAGAAATTTATCATCAAGACATAAGAATGTGAAAAGATTTAGCTATATAAATGTTAAAGGTTTTGTTTATAAGAGAGAATGATTTGAAATATCATAGGTTGTATTTAGCTGTAAGACACAGAAAAGCATCACAATCTGGGGACAGTCTATTTCTAGTTTGTTTCTATGCTCTCTTTGAGGAGCCAGATTCTTTCTCTCCTCTGCCATTCTCATTTGACAGAAAATGCCTCATGTCAGCATTTTGTCTTCTCTCAGTCATAAAATTATGGTTATAGATCCAAACAACACATAGAAAAGAGAAGTAAATGGTAAACGAATCTCTTGATCATCAAAAGGGGTGACACTTCCCAGAGGCCCCCCTAACCCAGCAGCTTACCTTGACCTCTCATCTGTCACAAGTGGGTCACATGGGAAATTCTGGTTGCAAGGAGGCTGGCAACATGGGTACCTGAAAAACAGAGGCAGAATTTTCATGATGAATTTGAAACACTGTTGAGTCATTTTCTAGGGGCAACACACAATGAAAACCCAAACAAAATCAGGGTTATAGTATCTGGAAAAGGAGAAAGTGGCCGCTGGGTAGACACTAACACAATTTGTCACTCATGTTTCTAATAACTACACCCAGACCCAAAATCTCTGCAAAATTATGTTATAAAACATATTTAATAACTTGGAAAGAAATTTTATATTAAAGTATAAATATTATAAATTTTTGCGTTATGGAATATTAAGGAAAAAAGTCTCCCTGGCCCAGTGTCATGAAAGGAAGACAGAAAGGGTCTTATCTCCTCTCTCCCCACTATTTCTTTGATGAGATCTTCATTCAAAATTAGCTATCCAAAAATATTCTGCCCTTTGTAAAATAGAGAATTTTGGGCCTCCCCGGTGGCGCAGTGGTTGAGCTCTGGGTTGCGAAGCTGCCTGCAGTCTCTGCAGCGCCGGTTCGATCCCCGGCTGCTCCCCGGCCACCGGAGGAGGGTCCCACATGGCGCGCAGACTTCTCCTGCCACCCGCTGCTCCCCTCAGCAGTGTTCTTCAGTCCTTCTGCCTGCTCTGCTCCCAGCTCTGGCTCTGGTGAATTCTCTCACCCTCCCACGCTTCTGACTGTACCCAGTGCATGTATAAACAACAAACAAACAAACAAATAAAAAAAAAGTCTCTATTAAAAAAATAAAATAGAGAATTTTAAGCTTATGCAACAGGCCTCTTTTCTTCTGGGGTAGGTTTCTTTTCTGCCAGCTTCTTTTAAGCTGCTGGTTTCTCAGTAGTTACAGTCATCTTTCCACCAAAGGCTTTTCTTGTTTCTTCATACCAACAGCCTAGTTTCCTTTCATTCCTACCACAGGCTTCTTTTGTGGAATCCCCTTCTCATATGACTTCACTTCTAACTCAGCTGTTGTCTTATCCTTCTGGAGCTAGTGATTCTTGGCTTGAAAAAGAACATAAAGAACATAAAGCATATGGCTTTAGAGTCAACATGACTCTCAGGTTCTTCACTGGATTCTTCAGGACACTGATGAATCTTCTGGCATGATCCTCAGAGGGTGTTTTGGATTTCTGGGATTTCTGAAATTCTGGTAAGGTCTGTAATGGGAAAGATGCTTCCTGAGGGTGGTAGTGTTAAGCCAAATGCCAAACAGATCATCTAACAATGCAAGACAATACTTTAATCCACATGCAGAAATGGCCTCCGTGCCCACCAAGAGCAAGTTTCAGGAGGCTCAGTTTGCTTAGGTTAAGGAAAGCAATTACAGGGATGTTTCCAAAGGTCTCGATGATACCATTGTCTTCTTATAGATGAGACAGAGTCCCCTGCCCTGGATATGACAATGGTTTCTCAGAAGCATAGACCTTTCTGATATTATTCCAGGCCTTAAATTTTTTAAGAATCAAAACATCCTCCTTGATCCTTTTGTATCAGTCATCTTTATCTTCAACAACTAATGGAAATTTGGGCACTTCCTCAATATGATGACTTTAGTCATGACCAGAGTTGGTAAGGTCAAGGCAGCCAGGGCAGAACTCATGGCATATTGTTTTTTGTGTAGTGTTCAATCTGCAGTGACAATGGCCCCAGGTTTCGGTTGGTGCAAACATTTGATTTCCCCTCCTCCCAAGACACATTATTTCCAAAAGCAGGTGGCCAGAATGTTGAATTCCACCACTGCAAACACTGGGACTAAAAGCCACAGTGATGCTAGTACCTTAAGACTCAGTACTAGTTTGATGTCCTGATAATTCACTGAAAGCATAGGGCTGTTATTTTCTGCCAAGTTGCTATGAACAAAGTTCACTAATATCTCGTGAAATGGAAGCCTTGAACAGAACAAAGTTTGTTTTGTTTTGTTTTTTTGCCAGATGACTCCCCTTTTATGGAGTACAGAAATACTAGGGCATGAGCATATACTATATGGGGAGAGAAGACCATAATCCTCTCTCACTGCAAAGACTTTGCACTAAAGTATGTCAGCAACCATTACTGGACAGAGGGAATTTTTAGGAATCAGAGTGAGAATATGGTATCAGTAGAGAGAATTTGACCAAGTAATCAAATAATACCAGACCTCTGTCCCATTTTATACCCATTCTTTTATAAATGTCTTCCAAATCACAAATGAGACAACTGCTGGTTTACCTGAAAAAATACCAATAGGCTGGTATTCCTGGATAGATCTAAAGTATCTATTAAAACTATGGATACTAAAGTATCCATTCTAAACCCAATGTCCACTGAATCCTCTCTGCTCTCTACTTCAGAGCCCAACCTACATCTGAGGACCTTCTGGGTATGGTGACAGAAGAGAGAGGGTGAACGTTTGGGGTTCATAGAAATCCTGAGTTTACTTACTACTGCTGCCTCCTGCCTGGAGGTGTGGGGAGAAAGAAAACCACATCCAGGGCTTAAATTTTTTTAAAAACAACTTTGAGAACTAGAAAATATGACCTAGCTGCTTTCGAGAACATAGCCTGTATATTCAGGCAAGAAAGTGAAATGGAAGGAAGAAAGGAGAGAAAAAATGTTCCTCTTCCTTGGTCCACAGAAATGATTTACATTTCACTTGAATCTTCTAACTTTTCTGCAATGAACATATTTTAATTATATAATAAGGAAAACATTATAACAGCATTGAAATTTTGGCACAAGTTGCATATTTATGAGATGCTATCTCCTGAAAGAATGCCTGTTTCCCAGTCTTGTATTTTCTTAGTCATAATTTTTCCTGCAGTAAATAACATGCAATAGTTACAGATGTAATGATAGATTTTGCAATTGATATTTGTAACAACAAAGGGAAATAAATGAATTTTTTATAACTGAAAGGAATAGAATGAGGAAAAGCAATACAAACAAAGGAAATTAAACATGACAGAAAACTAACACCTTCTATTTGATATGAAGTTTAGAAACCTTCTACTTATTCTAATTTTTCACTCTCAAAAAGTAAACACTTCCACAACCCTAATATAGAGTTATTTAACTTTGCTTTCAGTAGGATACTATTCACTCATATTTACATCAATATAACTTTTATTTCCACTATTTATTACCAAGTTATTTCTTAGGTTGTCCCAAGGATTTTGCTTCGAGAGATGGTCCCTCTCCATCTCTGCGTCCAAACTTGCAAAGTCCTTCCTAATATATTTGGTGAAATGGATGCAGATGGATACTTTTCTAACAGTTTTATTTTTGTTTAAAAGGTCAACATTTCCATCTTTGACCCTAATATAGTATATAAATCTTATTCTCAATGTTACGTGCAATCCTAAAATCCCTACTGATCCATTATTAGATCATTTTTCTCGATTTTCTTCTTATATGAAGAACTTTTTTTTTTTTTTAAAGATTTATTTATTTATTTATACGAGCACTGGGTACAGTCAGAGGCGCGGGAGGGTGAGAGGATCCACCAAAGCCAGAGCAGGGAGCAGAGCAGGCAGAAGGACCGAAGTACACTGCTGAGGGGAGCAGCAGGCGGCAGGAGAGGTCTGCGTGCCATGTGGGACCCTCCTCCGGTGTGGGGAAAGCAGCTGGGGATTGAACCGGCGCTGCCGAGGCTGCGGGCAGCTTCGCAACCCAGCGCTCAACCGCTGCGCCACCGGGGAGGCCCAGAACTTACGTTTTTATGTGTCTTATAAGGTTTGTTTCCCTTTTTATTGTCACCCTTTTGGTGACATCCTCCATATTTTAGATATTATATTGTGAGACCATGGATTATATTTTTACCTTCTTTTATTAATAGACAATTCTTGCATTGAGCTGTAGCACTAGGGCCAACTGAGAATACATATTCAGGTCCTTACCTATGGATATCAAAGAGGGGCGGGAGGAACAGAGTGCCAAGTACCCCTGTCTCCTCCCATCTCCTTCTACTTCATGCTGAATGGGGGCTCTCTGATTCCCCTCCTGGGTGACGGTGGTAAGTGTATGAGGTGATCTTCCATCCTTGCTGGTCTAAGCAAGGCTGTGATCTAGTATTCCCAGCAAGGGCAGTGTCAGCGGAATTCACCAGCAACTGAACTTCACTCCTACCCAGTAGTAAATAGAGTATTGTGGGACTAGGCATCATCAGGCTTCACTCCCCTGCTCTCTGGTGGACTCAATAGGGTGACTGATATTCTGCCCCCATTTAACCAGCAACTGAACCCTCTGGGCCCTTCCCTCACCCCCAGAAGTGCTAAGTATTGGTTAGTTTTCACTGACACCTACTGGAAAAATGGACGCTCTAATCCTTAATGCTTAGATAATAATGGGGAGATAGAAAAAATACAAAAAAAAAAAAAAAAAGGCAACTGAGTCCTCAGGGGACTACTGCACCACACACAGAAAGCAAATCTCAAAAATTCAACCAAAAAAACCACGACAGATCTTTAATAAAGGTTTATTTGCATTTCCATTTTCTCAATAAGATAATTATTTAGCTGCAATGTTGTAAACTCATTACTTGAGAGGATCTCAAGGCCTTTTAGTTCTAGGAATCTTAAGCAACCTATTATTTTCTGTTTTCAATCCTCATAAATATTTGTTGTGATAACCAGCATTGCAACTTCTCACCTGCGTATAATTCAGCCAGATTTTATTAGAACTTTTAAGTATCAATGTAAAAATTGACTGTCAGACAGTCACTTGAGACCAAATAGCACACTGGAAGTTCATGAGAAACACTTCAAGGATCAATATAATTTTTTGACATTGCTTTAAATTCTTCTGGTTTTATGCATGTCCCTCTAGTCCAAATTAAAAACTGAATCTTAAATATTTGTAATTACTATCAAATTGTTTTTGATATTAATCACACAGTTTTGCCCTCTAAATGTGCAAGTTGTAATTTTACCCTCTGAATGTGCTACTAGCAAGAGGAAGGCAAATGTTGGTGGTCCCTGAAGGTTTTTTTGTTTGTTATGCTTTGTATTATCTGTTCTTACACAGAACTAAAGCTCATTAATGGCAATAATAGAGCACTAGATGAGACTGAAATTCAACTTTCCATCATATTCCCATTAAAAATGACAGTTCTAGTCAATTCTTTGTTCTTATGAAGCCTGTAGTATTTATAAGGATGAGCTTAATTTGAACTGTTATAGCACTGTTAACATTTTCACACTGCTAATGATTGTAATGGTAACTGCTATAACCTCTTATAATTTTTATATTATAGTTAACTGCTGAACCACAAGCATCGGATAGATCATAAGTAATAAAAATTTGGATCGTAGGTGTAGTTATTATTATTTTGCTTTTGGGAGAATCAACTTTGTAATATATGAAATTTATTTGAATATGAACTTGCAGTGGTAACACACTCTGCTAAGGATTTGAAATGCTGTTATCTAAAGGAGCTTCACAAATAATTTAAATTATTGGACACTCTTAAAGCAATATTTTATGTTTTAATATGTGAAAGTAAACTTCTTATGATGGAGTGCAGCTCATTAGAAGGAGCTAAATTAATGCAGATTTCATGAAAGATTTTAATCTGGCTCATTGCCTAAGCCTCTGCTTCAGAAAATGCTGGAAGAAGACAAGGAAGCCAGACTTCACTAAGTCCTAAAACTTACATTCCCTCCACCGGCTAGAAGCTTCAATTTCTCCCTCTGGTAACTCTGGTTTTCAGCATGAATAAAGGCAGAGTTTTTCTTGTCAGCAGTAGAGGAACATTGTTTACGGAATTTCTTTTGCTTTTATATATTTTGCTTTGAATGTCATAAAAAGAGTAGTGGATTCTAGGTTTCAGGCATGAAAATAGCTATGGAGGAAATTACCACTATAAGATTTCTTTTCTATGCAGCAAATCTAGAACCTACCAATCCGTATCTAAACCAGTGATATTACAGTCAACTGATAATAATTCTTGAAATGAATGTTTGCCACTAGATTTTTTGATTTTGCAGTATATTTACCTGTATAATAATTGTGACAACAACATGAACAAAACAGAATAGAAATGAAATAACATAATAAACTATAACAACACTTACTTCAATGTTGTAAGTAGAATTAAAATAATGGCATAGAAAACCTAATTTATCCAGCAGCTTTCTTAAACTTGGTGGAACAAAACTCGGTTCTCTTGTAAAGGGTAGACCCACCTGATGGGAGATGCTTTTAATTAGATCTAGTCACAAAGTGGGTCACTACAAAAGGGGGCCTAAGAGAAAAAGCATATAAGCTTCCTCAGAACCCATCTTCCACCTCTGCTCCCCTGAAGAGGCCTAGGAAATAGTCCAAACTTTCTCCTTTGGAAAAAAACAACATATATTCTGTTTATGAAAATATTGCATGGTTGGGCCCCCTGGTGGCGCAAGGGGTTAAGATGCAACCTGTGAAGCAATTCACAGCCACTGCAACACGAGTTCGACCCCCGGCCAGGGAGGAACCCACATGGTGCAGCAGACCTCTCCTGTCATGCCAGCTGCTCCCTTAGCAGTGTATTTCAGTCAGTCTGCCTGTTCTGTTCCCCACACTGTCTCTGGTGAATCCTCTTACACCCCACACTTCTGACCTGTACCCCACTTCTTGTATGAATAAAATTAAAAAAATAAGTTTAATTTAAAAAAAACGAAAAAAAAAAATTGCATGATCGTAACATGATTTTCAATTCAATTAAGAAACACTCACTGAGTGATATTCTATGTTGAGCATAATTCCGAATCCTGGGCCCCCATATAAATAAGGCACAATTCTAGAACTTAAAGAATCTAATTGACTATGATAGAGAAAAAACTTTTAGCACTAACCAAAAAACAAAGTGACACTCTGTTTCATGAAAGGAAAAATTCATATTTATGGTATCCCAACTGACTTCATCAGCTGTCACTCATTTTTTCTTTGTCATATTGTTTTTATGTTAATAGAAGGATTTAGGATGCTGTGCTAGAGAAATAATATATAGTCAAACTATAAAAACTAGCAATATCTCAGTAATTTTAGATCCTGATGATCAATTATACAAAAGGAAATTGATAACAAACAATATGAAGCACATATATAAACAACACAAAGTGACTTAGAGATAGAAATGGAGCAGATTACTCAGCTTTCAGATGGGACTGTTAGAAAGATGGCTTTGGTCTCTTGCCATTTCCTTTAGAACTAGGGAGTAAAAGGTTATTTGAAGTATTGGAAGGATAAATTCCTTAAGTAGAGATGTTTTTCCTTTTCAATCTCTAATTGAATGAAAGGGAAACTAAGCCAATCTAAAACTGTTTTAAAAACTTGAACTCGGGCCTCCCCGGTGGCTCAGTGGTTGAGCGCTGGGTTGCGAAGCTGCCCGCAGCCTCTGCAGCGCTGGTTTGATCCTTGGCCGCCAGGTGAGGGTCCCACATGGCACACAGACCTCTCCTGCCGCCCGCTGCTCCCCTCAGCAGTGTACTTCGGTCCTTCTGCCTGTTCTGCTCCCTGCTCTGGCTCTGGTGAATTCTCTCACCCTCCCGCACTTCTGACTGTACCCAGTGCTTGTAAAATAAATAAATAAATAAATCTTAAAAAATTTAAAAAATGAAAATAAAAATGTGAGCTCCCTGTTATCTCATCCTTGACCTTCACTAGTTATTGTTCATCCAAATTCTTGATTTAGATGGTTTTTCTGGACCCTTTTCCTGCAGTTTGATATGACCTTTATTTTTCATTTTTAAATGAATTGACTTATTGGGAGTCATATTAAATTGAACACAATAAGAATGGAATTCTACATAAAAGATTCTAGATTTCTGAATGGGCACTAAGGACAATGTCATTTGAAAGAATTAACTGAAAGTAGATTTTTTTTTCAATAAATCTACCTTGCAGATCAAGTGTGAAAATGGTTTTTGTTGCAGCTGTGACTAAGGGAGATATTTATTCCCTCTGAAGATTCAGGGTTGCTTAAGTTAGGAATTTTAAAAGTATTAACATTCTGAGAGAGAAGCATGTCATTGTCCATATTACACAGATGACCAACTGCAAATCCAACCTAATTGGAAGCAGAGTTTTTGTAGATGTAATTAGACTAGATGAGGTAACAATGGAACAGGGCGAACCCTAAGTCCAATGACTGGTATCCTTAGGAAAGCAGGAGAGGACACACAGGGGCTTGCTCAGAGGAGAATGATGCCATGTGTAGAGGGCGGCTGAGACTGCAGGGAGGCTGAGGATGGCTGGCAACCACCAGACACTGGGAGAGAAACTGGGGACACTTCTCCCTCAGAGACTCCTGAAGTCACCAACCTATCAACATCTTAATTATGGACTTTGAGCTTCCAAAACTGTGAGACAATGCATTTGTTGGTAGTAAGTTGTTACAGCAGCCCTAGGAAACTGATACAGTTCCCAGTTATCTGTGCAACCCAGATCCCTCAAGCCTCATTAATATCTGGGTAGGTAAAGAATCACCCATATGGTAATAACTCAGATTTAATTGGACTTTTCCCCCATACTTTTTGTAATAGTCTCCCCTCCTCAAATTAAAACCATGTTTTATTGGGTATCTCTAGGGAGAGTGTCAGGTATGTATGGCTAAGTCTGCTCGGATAGCTCCTTCCACAGCTTCTGGGGACACCATGCTCTGCAGGCACTGTAACTGAAAGACGGGAGAACACAGGATGTCAAATATCCAGGGCAGGTGACACAGGAGGGTGGCAAGCCTTTCAAACCCTGCTGTCAGCACTGAGATAAACAGGTCCCACATCATTACAGAGTTGAGGAAATCACCTCCCTCCCCACTTCTCTGTCAGAAATAAGTTTTAGTTCATGTCTATATCATTCAACAGCTGAACAGTTGAATTCTTCTGAATAGTTAAACAGCTTTAAAATATTTTAACGTTCCTTTCTCTCTCCCAAGAAAGTAGGCAAACATCTATGAAGAAAATGGGGGGAAATTCAAGTAATACCCATCATCCAAACCTATCACCGCCCTTCCCATCAGTTAAGGAATTGAACCTGGCTCAACTCATCATCCTTCTCTTGGATATTTCCCTTAGGTTTTTGATGTGCTAACATATGGGCCTTGGTGAGTCCAACTGCCAATTCAGGGATGTCCAAATTCTAACAACAGATTAATGAAATAAAGGCCCCATTGATGTCTGGGTGATTCCAAAGCAAAGTTACCTTTTCCTTTCCCTCCACAGAAAATATTTTCAAGACTCCTCTGTTACAGTCCATGTTTTCTCCTCACATGAGATTCTGCAGAGGCTCTGAGACAATACTGGGAAAGTTTTTTTGTACCTACATTTTTCCACACACACACACACACACACACACAAATAAAGCTGAATAAAGAGAACAAAAGTAGGCTTACTCTAAATAAAATTGGTAGCAGCCATTATTATCAAAGCAAATATTACACCAGCTACAAGCTCAAGTACTGACACTCCTATCAACTACTCCCCTGTCAGCAAATGTATAATTGCAGCCACTGCAGCACAAGTTTGATCCCCTGCCAGGGAGCTACCCACATGGTGCAGCAGATCTCTCCTGATTTGCCTTCTGCTCCCCTCAGCAATGTATTTCAGTCAGTCTGCCTGTTCTGTTCCCCTCTCTGTCTCTGGTGAATCCTCTCACCCCCCCCCCATACCTCTGGCCTGTACCCTAGTTCTTGTACACATAAATAAATAAATCTTAAAAAAAAAAAAAGAAGAAGAAAATATGTCCAGTGTAATAGCCATTCTGGCTGACTTGCTCTTTTACTGGGGAGAACTAGCCCAGAAGTGGTAGAAAAGGTGCAAAAGAGATCACAGTTATGTATTGATCAAGTGCTTTATAATGTTAAAAAATCCAGCTCAGCATTGTAATGCTTGAAAAGAATAAGTTTTCTATGGTCATGGTGGGTGACTTTGGGAGAGGATGAAAAGCCTAAATTACAAACGTTAGGCTCTGCATGGCAATACAATGCTTTTCAGGATTTGTCTCATTTCTCCCTATTGTGGCCACATGGTCCTTCCAAAAGTTGATGGCATGGGGGCCCTCCTTTGGACACCTAAAGACAAAGTTTACTTGAAGGGTTTTGGAACATGTCTCTCATTTCTACCTTCACCTCCATTCCTCATCTTGCTTTTTACTTATTTTGGGGTGACTGAATTCTAGTTTTCCCTCTTATCCCTTTGATTCATCTAGAACAACCTGGTTGTTTTTTTCTTTTCCCAGGACATGTCGTCTTATAGAGCTGCTCTACACTCCATATACTGCAGCCTGGAAGCAGTAAAATACTCAACATTGAGATTTCCCCATGGTTACTAACATCTAAGTTCCCCTTAACAGGGAGGTGTGGAAATCGTACCTGGGAAGTTACAACAGCTGAAGAAATTTTCATAATGTATTGTTTTCTAACAGTGTTTTCATTTACTAAGCTTGCTTAGTAATCATAAAGACAAGTCATAGAACTAGACAAATAAAAAAATAATGGGAACAAAGTTCCTGCATATTTAAAATACTGCATAGTATTTTATTTCAGGGCCAAGAACTGCTTTACACATGATCAGAAGTCCAATGACTCAATACAGGAATATAATTACTTTCACTGCAGCAAAATAAATGATGACTATTAGTTAATCTGTCACAATTATTTTCATGATTATATTTCTTAAGAACTGCTTAAAGAAAGTATCTTTTTGAAACAATAACATCAATAACAAAAGGTAGTGAGCATCAAAGCAAAGGCTAATTTTTAATTGAAATGTATGAATCAAAATAAAGCGTGGTTGAGTTCATCATATCACTATAGAAGTCATCACATCTCAAGTGGTTTAGATGTGTGTGTGTATTATCTTCTGGGATCCACTTCTTCTGTGGCTAATGGTGGACAACAGCCTTTACTTGGGCATTAGTCCCAGCAAATGTAGTGACAAGAAGTAACTTAAACCAGGAAGCCTGAATTCTACCATATATCTTTCTGCAATATCTCTGTGCTAGATCAACTTAGCAAAGCTAGACTGTGTTTTCTGTAACTCCTCTGCATAGTTATAGGTTTGCATGGATCACAGAAGATCTTCTGTACAAGACTTGAAAGATGGAAATAAGACAGCACTGAAGGCTGGGGTCGAGCACCAGGAATTTGGGTTATGCACAAGTTCAAGTGAAAATTTGGTGAAAGCACCAGCTTCACCTTTATACCCATGGCATTGTGGCGGATATGGTAAGAATCACACATGAAATTCAATTTGTCTTCACTAATTCCAGTTGCTATGTGCCTCTTTCCATCCTTACCATTTCCAGTTTGTCCCTGCTCTCAGCCACACCCGGTTTTCCGAAAGCCCATACCTATAGTGACCTGAGACTCAACATTTGACACAGAAACTTCCAAAAATTGCATAGCATCCAATTCCTAAATAAATTACTCATTAACAGCAGTTCTGCTTCCATGAAATAACCTTGATTGATAAACCCTCTAATTAGGTAAATATAGGTATGCCTTAATTTCTAAACTAAGGATATATGTTTACTTTGTATTTACCCCAACTCTTGTGAGACTAGACATCTCATATGAAAAAATTGTGAAGAATATATAACACACAGGTGAAAAATATTACATATGCATATACTTGTATACACATTTTAAAATACAAATTGGTGTATTGTCTGTGAGCTCTCTTATCTAGGAATAAAATAATCAATACTTTAATTGACGCGATTAAAGACACAAGCTAATTTTTAGCCTTCCCAACCAGTGCCCTGAGCAATCCCATGACATATGCAAATAATATTGAAGATAATTAAGGAAGATAATGAAAAACTATGAAAGTATCTGAAAATGTGAAAGATTATTCAGTTGTAAGATTATTTTTTCTTTTTATATCAAATTTGTCTTTGCAAACTAATTGCATTCAGGTTTTGATTTCTGACATTAAATGCTACTTTCCTAATTTTTCCTCCAGGACTTTCATTTGATCTCTCATCTGTCATTAATGAAGATATGAGATCTTTGTACTTGTTAAAATCACCATAAACACTTATAGAAGTGCTGGCACATGATTTATATTAAGTAATGTTTGCCAAATGAATGAACAGATCAATCAGTTAATCAGATTATGGTCTGGTCTGCACTTAGATCCTTTCTTAAATTGTTGACGGAGAGGAAGCACCTAATTGCTGATAAATTCACACATCATTTTCCAGATATAAAATGTGTCTCTTCAGATGTGCTTTAGGGTACTGTGGTTGTGTAGTTCTCTGGTGAGCAAAATAGACAATAAGACAGGGAGAACTTGGTAAAAGCAATGTATTCTCTTTATTTTTATCCTTAGGTACTTATTTACATCTACTAAGATTCATCAATGACTTTGGTTTGATAATATAAAATGCCTAGAGGAAAGGCCAAATTATACAACTTTGTGTACCTTAGATGCTGGAAAATTTCATGAGTATGAACTAAGAGTAGTTGAGAATCAGGTCACTTTTGAATGAGAAAGATAAAGTTCATCTAAAATATCACCTCCTCCTACTTTAAATACCTGGATTTTTTCCCTTTTTTTATGCAGCATGAGAAACGCAGAGTAGCAGAAGACTTCACATCCCCTTTAATTAAATATGTAGGTAGATCTGTCTGGTCAATTGTGTTAGACTAGTCTACCACAATTAGCACCAGCAACGAAAGCATGTGGTCATTAAAGGGGTTAAAGTCAAGGTAAGAACCTTCATTTTAAATTCGTGCTCTTTGCTTCTTTTGGGATACCAAGATGGATGTAATGGATGAGGGGATAGTAAATGAAGTTGCCATGCACATGTTTCCCAAGAGTTTTATGTAATGACATGACATTTAAAAACTTAAGCATGGAGCAATACTTCAACTACTTAAGGGATTTATTTTCATATAAAAGTTTGAAACTGATCAAATTTCAAATAAAAGTGACTAGAGTTAAAAACTAAATTTTTTATCTTGATGACCTTGGTCTGAGTGTTATAATAAATGTTTTAATTTACATATTAATGCTGACTCTGCCTTTAGGTAAAATTAATATAAAGATCCCAGGAATTTCTTAGTCAACAGGATTACATTTATAGCCTGTTAATATTAAGCAGCTACAATGTCCCCTTTCACCTGTTATAATGAAAACAATACCTTAATGAGAGAGATATTTGCGCTGAATGATAGTTATAATGAAATGTCTTCAATTTTAGGTTCTTTAGAGGGGCAAAAAAGTCAGTTGGATAATGGAAAAACTCCTCAGACAGAAGGTCAGGTTGCTTATTCAAAGGTCATACCATTTAGTATAATTGATTTAAAATATCCCTTGTTTTAGTAGGCATTGGTCAGAAGTGGGAACTGAGCAGAAAAGGGAGATTTTATGTACAAGGAAACTGGATCATTAAAGCCTGATGTAAAATGTTATTTTAGGAGAGTAGGAAGGCCAGACAGAGGGTAGTTGACATATCCTAGTACCATGTTACCTGACACTTCATAGTTCATTATATAGCTATTCAAATTAATATTATAGTATTTTCATTCCAAAGTGAAAAATTGGATTCCTAAAGAATTTTTGTAGGAGACTTAAACTTCATGATTAAGAAACTTAAAGCTTATTTTGTAAGACTAATTTATTAAGCCAAAGTTATTGTGGGAGTTTTTTTAAATATAGCCCAAATTCATTGAGAGCTAGAGTCTATGGCCTCTCCCCTTGAATTTGGGAGAATTTGAGACCACAACAGAAAAAAATATGATTGATTCTAGGTCATAAAAAGAAGAGAAGCTATTGTCTTGCTCGCTGCAGCACTTTCACAAGCACTCCAAGGTTGCCATGCTGTGAGGAAGTTCAAACTAATTCATGCAAGAGTCAGCATGGGTAAGCCCCAGCACTGTGTG